TGCATCTTCACCCCGGGTGGAGTAATCGGTGTTTCTCCACCCAGATTCATCCCCGACGGCGGAAGTCCTCCAAATGGTGGTAATCCCAGCATCTGCATCACTGGAGGTCTAGGGGTATAGAGTGGTGGTGGTCTCCTATCTGTCCAAGCTCCCCAAAACTCCTCATTCAAGTTCCTCTGCAAACCTTCCTTCTCAGCCATCAGAAACAGATCAAAGCCAAAATGATGGGTCTCCTATCTGTCCAAGCTCCCCAAAACTCTTCATTCAAGAGAACCGATGGTTTTGAGCTCAGATCTGCTTGAATCGCCTTCGAACCGTTACTAGACTGCCGTAAACACCTGCAAAAACTCAACGCCAGAAGTGTTTTCGGTGTAGAGCCTCTGACGCTCAAGTCAGTATCTGAAAAGAGATGAAGAGAGGCTGCTTTGAGAAAGCAGCAGCAGCTATAGAGGAGAGTGTGAATGAATTAAAGTTAGGGTTTAGGGTCACCTTACCTCATTTATATAAGAGGAAACACTTACTTGAAGTACCCAAAATGCCCTGGCCGACTTACGTGAAAGGTCCAAAATGCCCCGGTCGGTTCGTCTCCCCTTACTGCTGAGTCATCACAAGATTCCTTCTTATCCATTGGAGAATGAAAAGCTTTAAGTATGCTGCAAGTATGTTGAGTCGTCAGTGTGTTTCATGTCTCGAGGTGCATGGAGTCGACCTCGAGTATGAATGAGTCGACTTAGGATCTTCTGGTTATTTAGAGGCTACACTCTTGTTGGTCTTCTCAATAGATGTCGACTTTTGTGAAGTCGACTTCTAGGAGTCGACTTGTAGGGGATCTGCCATTTCTAGCAGTCATTCTTATGAAGAGTTGACTTTGCGGAAGTCGACTTGAGTATGTCGACGGAAGTATGTCGACGTGTGAACGGGTCTGAGAAACTATTCAGTCGAGTAGAGCATTTGGGCTCGTATATCATAATATGGCTATATTAGGATTCCTCCATGCTAAACCGCTTTAGCACCTTATTTATGTACATCGATTGAGATAGTTCGATCATCTTTCTATATCTATCGCTATAGGTCTTTATCCCTAGGATAAAAGATGCTTCTCCCAGGTCTTTTATGGAAAACTGTTTAGACAACCAAGTACTTGTTAACTGCAACATTCCTACATCATTCTCAATGAGTAGAATGTCATCAGCATAGAGCACAACAAATGGTACTACATTTCTACTAACCATCTTATGTATACATGGTTCTTTTGGGTTTTTATGAAAATCAAATATTTTGATCATTTCATCCAACTGGATGTTCCAACTCCTTGAAGCTTGTTTAAGTCCATAAATAGACTTTTGGAGTTTGCAAACCATTTGCTCGCTCCCACTGGATATAAAACTTTGTGGTTATTTCATATAAATATCCTCCTCAATGTTTCCATTAAGAAAAACAGTCTTCACATCCCTTTGTCTTATCTCGTATTCATAATACGCATCTATGGCTATCAGGATCCAAATGGATTTATTTGATTACAACTGGTGGAAAAGTTTCTCATAATCAACAGCTTGTTTATGAGTATAACCTTTTTCAACCAGACGCACTTTAAAGAATTCACCTCTCCATCTACTCCAAGCTTCCGCTTGTAAACCCATCAACAGCCAATGGGTATAATACCCTGTGGTCGGTCTAACAAGGTCTATACCTTGTTTGAGTACATGGAATCCATTTCGGACTGCATAGCTTCTTGCTATTTAATAGAGTCAATGTCCAACATTGCCTCTTCATAGCTTGTTGGATCATTATCCAAAAGGAGTCTCTCTTCATTGTTCTCTAACAATAGGTATAGCCTTTAAGGCGCCCTAGAAACCCTCATAGATTTCCGAAGAGGTTGTGGTTCAGAAGGTCCAGTCTCAACTGGTGTGCAATCTGTGACAACTTGTAGGATACTTTGTGGTTCTTGTTCTTCATTAAGTTCTACAACCTCATCATTCTTATTAGAGGGAAACTCTTCTTCTAAGAAAATGGCATTCCTCGAAATAAACACATTTTGTTCAGAGGGATCATAGAAATAGTATCATAGAAACTCTCTTGGATACCCCACAAATTTACATAAGATGGGTCTCATATCCAACTTATCTCCCACTTGCTGCTTCACATAAGCAGCACACCCCATACTTTGAGATACTTGTACGAAGATGTTTTTCCACACCATATCTCATAAGGTGTGTTAGGCACGACTTTACTTGACATCCTATTCAATAGATATGTAGTTGTTTCTAAGGAATAACCCAATAATCAAGAAGGTAAAGTAATGGAACTCATCATTGATCGAACCATGTCCAACAATGTTCGATTCCTTCTTTCTGAAACTCCATTAAGTTGTGGATTACTAGGAGGAGTCCACTGTAAGAGAATCCCATTCTCCTTTAGATAATCGAGAAACTTAGTGGTCAAATATTCACCTCCTTCATCCGATCGAAGAGTCTTAATACTACAACCACTTTGTTTTTAACTTCATATTTAAATTCTTTGAACTTTTCAAAGACTTCAAATTTATACCTTAAAAGGTATATATAACCATACCTAAAAAAATTATCAGTAAAGGTTATGAAGTAGTGATAGTTCCCTCTCGCACTAACAATTAGTGGTCCACAAACATCTGTATGAATCAAATTCAACAGATCTTTAACTCGCTCCACTTGTCCAACAAATGGTGATTTCCTTTAAGACATGATTCACATGTAGGCAACTTATCCTCTCCCTTAAGGTCGAGTTTTGGTCCCAATTTGTGAATCCTTTCGTCAAGTATGTCTCAATCTAGCATGCCAAAGTGTAAACAAACTATGATTATCTATCTTTCTTTTATTTTGTTAAATAGTTAGGATGGGACTTTGAGGTGTAACAGTGTATAAACTTTTTTTTGTTAAATAGTTAGGATGGGACTTTGAAAATGGAACATCTTCCAATCTCAATAACAAACTTTCACCATTATTCAAAGCTAGATAAACAGTCCCTATAGCAAATGCAACAACTCTTGCTCCATTGCCCATTCTAAAGATTGTTTCCTTACTTTCCAACTTTCTACTTCTTGCCATTATTTGCAATAAATATGTGAGCCAGAGCCAGTATCTAGTACCCAAGAAGAATCATTAACTGATAAGTTCAACAAAATAAACACCTGAACTCTTCACGCTTGAAAGATATTCCTTACAATTCCTCTTCCAGTGCCTTAACTTGTCACAATGGAAACATCTTTTATTACAATATTGATCAGTCAATTTGTTTTGCTCATGAATACATGTGATTGGATTTATATCCATTTTAGTAGAATGATCTACCAAAATAAACGAATCAGAAAATGAGTAAATTATGGAAAATATATTCATTGAATATAAGGTCTTTGATATTAAATGTCTCTCACTATTTTAATTAAACCCCATAAAATTTTGAAAATCAAACTTTCATAGTGGACTTGAAGCCCAATAAAAATATTCATATCCCAATTTTATGAGTACGCATGAAATATTTATATTGGTAGCCAAAATTTTTTACAATTGTATTACTATACAACCTTCAAGTTTATTTTGCCTCACTTTTTTTATATACCCCAATTTTATGACCGTATGTAGCACAAAGTGTCAAATTAAACCCATCAAACTTTCGTGATAATGGCGCATCAATGTGTCCCACAACTCGTGACAAACACAGAGACGAATCCATCTCACGAGCATCTCAATGCGTAGTAGAGATCACAGTTTTCAGCACAAAACCACCCCACGACTCACGGTCAGTGACTAAGCAATGTAGCATCGTCATGTCATCTACTTTTGATGAAAGACATGGATTAATTGGTCCAACCTATTTTATCCATTTTTAATTTGATATGGAATTAATAGAATTAATATCCTTTAGGGTTTTTAAGATCTCATCATTCGTTACTTGTGTTTATTTAATACAACATTCATCACATGAAATACTAGAAAAATAAACCATACATGCATCATATGCAGAAAGCGATGGGATGATCAGGACCATGCCTATGCAACCCATTCAAGACAAAATGGGTCTATGCCTATATACGGGATAAAATAAATAGAATTACTTCCATTACATTTTATTTTATCAACCCGTACAAGCACAGGCCTTCAAAATTTACAACTTGTAAAATTACCCACACAAGCGTGGGCCTTTTGCATCGAACGGCCTCCAATTAGAAAACCTCACAATCTAATCTACTCTCGATGCAATAATTTAAAGTTATACAAATTATTGAATAAGAGACTCGCAAGTCTCGATAAATTACAAACATTCAATCATATTGAATAAAAGGCTCATGAACATCCCTAAATAAACCATTCATCACATGAATTGAACCATATAAATTCACCAATTTAATTTGTTGATATAGTAACGAATCATATTAATTTACCAAATTTTGTGTGTTGATTTAATTTTGGGATTATATTAAGCTTAACTATTCATAATAGTTAATATAAAATAAAAAAAAAATAATTTTTTTTATTCTGTCACACGACTCGTGTGACATCTCACACGACTCGTGTGAGGTCACACGACTCGTGTCCCTTAATCACACGACTCGTGTGAAAAAGCCGCAAGCAACTTTTAATTGTCCATTTGTCCACACGACTCGTGTGCCATAGTCACACGACTCGTGTGACTATTCTTAATTTTTTTTTTCTTATAAATAATATCATCACATGACATTATATTGGATAAAGAGATACNTTTTTTTTTTTTTTTTTTCCAACGATAAGAAGTACTCATAATAATAAAAGTTCAAGTACAGACCAGCGAGCAAACTAGCCCGAATATACAAACCATACAACACAAAGGAGATCCACTCCAACGGTGGACTACATAGACACAAACCACAACAAAAGCTACAAACGTCTAAAGGCGAATGCATAAATTCGAACCCTTTAGACAAACAAGCCAAAAACAAACCAAACAACAAAAAAGAGAAACACAACCGGGCCACTGAACCTAAGAACCTAGCCCGGACAACTCAAAAACACAACAACCTAAAAAAACTCAAACAAAACAAACACAAATAACAAATTACAACCAATATATTCAGACCACTCCTTCAAAGCATTTCTCGCAATCACCGGCTCCGGCATCCATACCTTTTGAAAAACCCACAAGTTGCGCGACTTCCAAAGCCACCACAATATATACGTCGACAGTTGTATCCGAGCTTCAGAAGTAGGTGTCTTCTTTAGTTCAGCAATGCTCCACCACCAATATTTGAATTTATCAATAGGTATAGCGGCTGAATCCCAACTAACCGGCATTAAACTCCACACCATAGCAGCTCTGGAACAAGTAAACATCAAATGCTCGACAGTTTCCACACTTTCCCCACAACACTGGCAGACAGTATCTAGCTGCATTCCTCTAAGTCTCAGATTATCATTAACAGGTAAAACATCAGTAAAACACCTCCAAATAAAATGCTTAATCTTGCCTTTCACCCTCAGATTCCAACACCTCATTCTAGCCTTCTTATCAGCTGTAATATTAGAACTACACCCTGGTATATCAAGACTCAAAATCTTCTGCTTTACTGCTACTGAATAAGCTGAGGAAACAGAAAACATACCTTTCAAATCCACTGTCCACACCCATCTATCTCTTGCAGCAGGATCCAAGCCTTTAATTTCCAGAATGGCTTTACAAGATGCTTCAGTAAAAAGGTTTTGAATCAGTTCTCTATTCCAAGCTCTGCCATCTCCTGTCATCAACTCATGCACCCAAACACAAGACAGTGATCTCACCCCTTCTTTCAGAACTGGTTTACCTGCAGTGAGACCCTTCACCCAAGGATAAGAAAGGATTTTAGTATTCAGGCCATCCTTTATTTCCCTTATGAAGCAATCCCTGTACAGGTTTAGTACTTTCATCCAAGAATTCCAAAGCCAAGATGCAGAACTGTGTTTTTTAGCCTCTAACACACAACCAGAAGGAAAGTATTTGTCTCTAAGCACTCTAGTCATCAAAGTGTTAGGCTTAGTACATAATCTCCAGATTTGCTTAAGAATTAAGGAATCATTAAACAACCTAACATCTTTAAACCCCAGCCCACCTGCCTCTTTTGGAATAGTAATTTTTTTCCAAGCCACCCAAAATAACCCTCTTTTTTTATCAGAACCCCCAGCCCACCAAAATTCAGCACTCATTCTAGCAATATCCTGACAAATACTCACAGGCAAGCAAAAGCATGACATTACAAAGACAGGAAGAGCATTAATAATAGAAGTCATCAGAACCTCCTTCCCAGCCTTGGACAGAAACTTGTTAGACCAGCTATGAATTCTCTTCCTTACAGCATCCAAAACAAACTGAAATACCTCTTTTTTGGACCTCCCCAGTCCCATTGGCAAGCCTAAGTACCTAGTTGAGGAACACACTGAAATCCTATTGAGAGTCTGACAGACAGCTTGCTTCATCAAATCACTAGTATTTCTGCTAAAAAACACATTAGACTTGAAGAGATTCACCCTTTGCCCAGTAAAATTCTGATACATTGTAAGAATTCTCAACAAACTTAATGCATTAGGAATGTCAGCAGCACAAAATACCAAAGTGTCATCAGCAAACAAAAGATGAGATAAAGTGATTCCACCTCTAGAAATTTTCAATCCCTGAATATCCTGCTCCCTCACTGCACTTCTGATTAACTGGGAAAACACCTCAGAGATAATAATGAAAAGATAAGGGGACAAAGGGTCCCCTTGTCTTATACCCCTAGATGGAGTGACAAAACCAGATACTCTTCCATTAACATTAAAAGAATACACTGCAGTTGAGATACAAGCAAAGATCCACTGAACAAAAGTTCTATGAAAACCCATTTGGAGCATTGTCTTCACCACACCATTCCACTCCACCCTATCATATGCTTTCATCATATCAAGCTTAACTGCCATAAAACATTTATTACCAGACCTATGCCTATTGAGATAATGAATGACTTCATGGGCAATTACCACATTATCAAGGAGCTGTCTGTCAGGTATGAATGCAGATTGTGTTTCATGAATGCAGAATTTCAAACACTCTCTCAATCTACTAGCCAACACTTTAGCCACTATCTTGTATGTAACACCGCAGAGACTAATAGGTCGAAAATGATTGATAGAAATTGGATTTTCCACTTTAGGAATCAAAGTCACCACAGTATGGTTCCAACTAGTACTCATTCTCCCAGAAGCAAAAAAGAATAAGACAGCATTACATATATCTTCCTTCAACAAAGGCCAGAAATGTTGATAAAAAAGTGGGGTCATGCCATCAATACCTGGAGCCTTGTTTGGATTCATAGAGAATAGAGCAGCCTTCACTTCTTCTTCCTCCACATGAGCTATTAGAACCTCATTCATGGCAGCTGTAATTGAGTGAGGAATTAATGATAGCACTTCAGCCTCTCCCCAAGATCCCTCAGATTCAAACAACTTCTGGTAAAAATCAGTGATAGCTGACTCAATCTGTTCCTGAGAATCCACCATTCTATTCTGATCCACCACCAATCTTTTAATTGCATTTCTTTTCCTCCTCTGTAAGGTCATAGCATGAAAAAACTTAGTGTTCTTGTCCCCTTCTCTCAACCATTGTAGCCGAGCCTTTTGACTCCAAAACAGTTCCTCCTCCATATGTGATTGATCCAGTTCTTGCTTGATTTTCTCCCACTCTTCCCAGTTCCTCTGCCCCCCTAACTCCCTCATCTCCTTCAATTTTAATGTCAGAGCCTGAATTTTCTTCACATTATCTGATTGAAAAACCTTCTTCCATTTGATGATGGCCATCCTAGTTTTCTTAATCTTCTCTCTAACTTGGACCATTGGATTACCCTCCACTTCTTCACTCCAAGCTTTCCCCACTTCTTCAGCACACCCTTCTCTCTGCACCCACCTTTTATCAAAAACAAACCTCTTGAAAAATTTAGGTTCTTGAATGCCAGTATCCAGAATCAGCATGGAGTGATCAGATGCACTCCTGAACTGGGATAGAACTTTGGCACCTGAATAGCAAGACACCCAAGCAAAGGATCCAAAAACTCTATCTAACTTCTCCTCCACAAACCCTTCCCCCTGCCTATTATTACCCCAAGTAAAAGGATAGCCCTCCATGGCCAGCTCCATCATTCCCATATTAGCACTAAAGTCATTAAAGCTGTCAAAACTTCTCTCAGATCTGATCCTCCCCCCTCTCTTCTCACTACTTCCTCTTATAGCATTCCAGTCACCCCCAATACACCATTTGTCCCCCCAACTTTCCTTATCCCTCTCCAGTTCCTGCCATTGCAACTCTCTTGATTGAGTGTCTGTGCTCCCATATACAAAAATCATCCATTCCGGGTTTCCCATCAGCTTAGTTTTGAACTTCACTTGAATACAGTAGCTATACTTAACTACCTGTAGCACCTCCACATCTTTATTCCACAGCAACATAAGACCTCCACTTAACCCTAAAGGCTCTACTATAATTCTCCTATCCGCAAAACCCAACTTCTTAGAAACTGTCTCCATAAAGAACATTGATTTCCTAGTCTCAGACAAAAACACCAAACTTGGGAGGTGGGCCTTAATGGCTTCCTTAAGCTGGGAAACTGTAGAGGGCCCTCCCAGACCTCTACAGTTCCACAAGATTGTCTTCAATTATTCATTTGGGGCCATTCAAGGCTGGCTACCTCCACCTGATCTTCATTATCATTAGTCACAGCTGTACACACCCTTTTAGCTTGTTCCTCAGCTTCAGGTTCCATGGTTTTGTTAGAACATTGCCTCTGTCTTTTCCCCTTTCCTTGTGCTGGTACAATCTCCATAGGGCTATCTGTTCTCTTAAGTCTTCCCCTTGTTTGCCCTTTCCTTTTCCACATTGAAGGAGCTTTGACTCCAATCTGAAGATTAGAACTTTTCCCAACTGACTCTCCTCGAGATACTGGTTGCTCACCCTCTCTTATTGCCACTACCACTCCTTTCCCATTTTTCTTAGCACTTCCTCTATCCTCCACCACCATATTCCTCTGGCTCCCACTTTCATGCTCACTGAAATGAAGGTCTTTTGCTACCTCCGTCCTGTTCACACCCTCAGTCATCTCAATCAGAGCTACATTTGAATTACTCCCTTCACCCATCACATGGTCCTTAGAGGTATTAACTGGTGGTGCTGTATCCCCTTGTCTCTGCATATGACTCTGTCCATTAGAAGTATGAGAAGGAGTAGATGTTGTTGATGACCCCATATTTCTCCCTATGTCCACAGCTTTCATCCACTCCCCAAACTGTCCTTCCATCACATTCCCCTCCTCAATATGGCTCAGTCTAGTCTTGCAATCCCGTTCCAGATGTCCCACCAACCCACAGTAAAAGCACAAGCTAACGAGTTTCTCATACTGAAACATCACATTTAGATGTTGATTCCCCAGTCTAATTTTAGTACAGCGAGGTAAAGCTTCAGCAATATCATGTGAGACCAACAGCCGAAGCATACTACCCTTAATTCCTCTCTCCTTCACAATGACTACGTTCTTCACCTTTTTAAATAACTTCCCTATTTTCACCCCAACTTCTGTACTTAGCCAATGAAGAGGAAGTTTTTGTACCTGAACCCAGAGGGTAATTTCCTTGAACCCTTCATCATGTTCATCCAGATCCTCTCTCCACTCTTGCAGCACCAGATACTGATTCTCAAACACCCAATTTACCCCCGCCATTACCTTCTCTTTATCTGCCTGGCAACCAAATATAAATTGGAAAAAATTTGGTCCCAATTCTTTAACTTCAAGAGGTTGTGCCGTCTGCCATACAATCCCCATTGTTCGCCGGATACCAAACTTACTAGCTTTTCTATCCCCAATTATCTTGCCTAATAGACTTCGTTTACATTCTTCAGCACACCTTCTGATATCTCCATCGTCCAAGTCTACTCCACGATCCTCCTTCGCTGATAAATTTAGGTTAATCAGCCTTTCCCCCAAATCTTCTGCCATAAAGAACGCGCACACCACGGGACCACACACACACTACGGGAACACACACACACCTGTATACTCACACCTGTATACACACCCACTCACACTAAAGCAATAGAACAGAGATGGAAGGTCACTCTTCACTAAGAGAATTTACTCTCCGGCGAGAGAATCTTTACTCTCCAACGAGAGAATCTTGTTGGAAATCATGGGAAAAACAATTAGACAAGCTGCTCGTCTCAATTACATCGACCCAAGTCCCGTAGCCGCAGTCTTGGTTGTTGAAGAGAGGTAAGGTCTTGCCCGACCATTCTCAACGTAGGATCCCGCCCGCCTTTCCGGCATCACTAGCTGAAACCTATTTTGATCAATGTAATTATTGTACAATAACAAGGTTGAGTTATGGTACTTAAAACTTGCAATAATACATCTTTATGTATATATATGTTAATCAACAATTGATTATAATTAACTAATCATGAAACTAATTTCAATATATACACAACAACTTGTATATATATTAATCAACTATTGATTATTATTAATTAATCATGAAACTAATTTCAATATATACACATCACATATGTATATATATATATATATATATATATATATATTAATCAACAATTGATTATAATTAATTAATCATGAAACTAAGTTTAATATATACACAACAACTTGTATAAAGAAACATTTTCTGGTCGTATGAACTCAAACAATTCGATTCATTTAATTAATCCCAAATTTAAAATCAAATACAACTTTTGTATCACACACAAATTTATATAATTTAATAATTAAACATGTTTATCATATAAACATAACAATCAAAATCTGATTTTAAAAGATGCAAACTGTGACTCTGATACCACAATTGGGTTCACTATACCGTACGAATTAAAATCGCAGCGGAAATTATACAATATAAATATCATTTATCAAATAAATACTTAATCCCTAAGTAAATATAGCGAATGAAATGATCGGCATCTTTGAAAAACATGTAAAAATACGAATTTTGATTTGTAGGGAATTTCGAAAATTACCTTTAATTTTCTTCAAATATCGACGATGAAGAGGAAATCAATTCCCGGTTATGTGGCTATCACCATCTTCGTATGTCTCACCATAAGGGATCCAAGTGTCTCCTCTCTAATCGAGTCCACCTTTTGGATTCCGACTCCAAGAACTAATTTCTTCGCTAGTAGAAATTTCTCGGTTTTCAATTAGTATAGGATTTTAATTAAAGAGGAGAATTAATTTTATTTCTTGATATGAGAGATAATTTTTCATATCTTCACTTTCTCAAAGGCAAGACAATTTCTCTTTCTTTTCTCAAAAGTCAAGATTTCAATTCTACATCTTTCATACATCACATATGTACATATTTGTACTAAAATTTTATATATAAAAAATGTAATGTTGTGTAGAATATTTTACATAAAAAATTAAGTCTTGGTAAGACTATTCCTACCCAATTTTATTAATAATAAAAATAAAAATTAATATGTAGAGTGGGTAACAACTCCCATCTACTATAATTATTATTTTTCTTAATATTTAATCTTTAATCTAAATTAAAGATTAATAATTACAAATAATTTATGAAATATTTTCAATATTATTTGTAAAAATATCTTTATCTCCCAATAGACTAAAATCTCCTCATTTTTATAATCATATTATTATTTGGATTTGAATTTTAAAATCCAATGTTAAAATCCATCTATTAATTTAGTAATTCCAATAATTACTTAATTAATATCTAAAATTTAATTAATCAATCCAATTAATTAATTTATTATATTTCTTTAATTGACATTTAATTAAAATTATATTTAACTAAATAATCTAATTATTTAATTAAGACTTGTCAATTAATCTAACTATTGGAAATAACAATTTCAAAATTATCATCATCCAAAATTTGGTGTGACCCTTTTAGGTTCACGATTAACACTAGTAGTGGGTTTACAACTCGTTTGTAATTTAAGTTAATCTAATTAACTTATATTCTTGAAATTAACTCCTCAATTTCAAGAACCCACAAATCATGGTAACACCTAGCAAGTAGCATGATCATCTAGCATTAAGTGAAATAGCGAGTAAACCTTTTCAATTGCAAGTGCATACATGTAAAATCCTTTCGACAACTAATTTTCCAATTAAATCTTGGGAATGAATTTATAAGTCGAAACTCAATTAATTTAATAACTATGATTCCATTTCAAGTTTAGTGATTCCTTTATGAATCCATATTCATACTGCCTTGGCCAAGGTCTTTGAATCACAAACTATGAAAAACGTAAGAAATTCACTTATCTACATAAGTGTCGAATTCTTTGTTGGCCACAGATAAACCTCCATACACATTGATACAGTACCCAAAATATCCCTTTTATGATTCTCCAATAATCAAAAGATAAATCAAATTAAAGCACAACATGCACAAGATTACTATCTTGCCTCAAGTCAGAGGATCAGTCATGTACTATTGCAACATAAAAATTTATATTCGACAGTTAAAAACTTCCAGTTAAGAATTTTCATCGGGTCATGTTCAAAGAACTTGTTCTCCAACAGCACCCGCATATATGCATTTGCGTCCACACGCTAATGTTGATGGAATGCAATATTCTCATCTGATGAGCATACATCATATGCACAAGTCTTATCGGGTTATTCGATGTCCTGTCTCGAAATACCCATCGACTTGGAACTTATTAAGATCACAACTTTAAAGACATGTTCCATGATTGCCATCAAATGCGCAACCATGCCTCATAGCTAATAATGATCTAAGGAATTTATCATATGTGCAAATATAGTATAAATGCAAATACATTAGATAAAGCTATGCCTCAAAATAATATAATTTCCAATAAATTGTCTTTAAAAGTAGAAATAGATCCAATCAGATTGGAACACCGTGTATTCTACTCTAACATTTCTCTGATAGGGTCGTGAAGCGTGGCACGGCGCGGCACCCGCGCGACGCTCTTGTTGTCACGGCGCAGAACCTGCCTCGGCGCGAGGCCTGGGTGCAGTGTGTGGCTGCTATGCACGACTTTGCGTTTCGGGCTCGTTTGAACTCATCCAAACTCGGAATTGAGTTTTGTTTTTTCCTACTTGTCCCAATCAACCATTCTACTTAATTATGCTTGCATCACTAGTAGAAAAAACACTTTTCACATCGACAGTTTACATCGGTTTTGTCAAAACCGATGTAAAAAACATTTTTCACATCAGATGTTGACATCGGTTTTGCCGAAACCGATGTCAACAATATAAAATTTCAGTTTGGAACATCGGCTTATTTGATTGTTCTTGTGGAACTCCCAAGATAAGTGGAAATGGCTGCAAAAGCAACTCTTTTTTTTTCTCAAACGGGCCGAGGGACAGTCTCAGGTAGACAGTTTCTATGGGGCGTAGGCCTCCCAAAAGAAAAGTGAGGACTTTCCCGATTATAAAGTTGCTTTTTTATCCTTAACATCGTTGGTCAACTCCTAGATTCGTCTCTCCTGTCCATAAGATCCAGATACCCCCAGAAAACCCCTGGGCCTCCACTCGAAAAGATCTGTCAAATCGGCTAGGAAGGGAACTCAACGAGCTGACTGACCGACGCGAAGATAAGAGATCGAACCGGACAGAACGAGTGGTTTCTCCTTCTTCTTCGCTTCTTCCGTCCTTTCGTTCAGTAATGGGGCATGCTTTTTTTTGATATAAAGGCAGCAAATACACGCGGTGTAATAACCAATCTGGGAATAACTGTATTTTGGAGGTCAGGCATAGTTCCTGGCTTTGTTTACGAGTTGGGTGTGGGTAAAGAGCGGGGTAGGAGTCAGTCCTCGCAGTGAAGTCATAAAAAAGATGCAATTGACCTTCATCTTTCTGAATCGAGACCCGGCCCGGCTCGCGTCGCTCCAACAACCGGCGGGGAGCACCTCAGTATACGATCGCGCCTCAACCGAGTGCCAAACACCATCCACACACACCTTTGGAACCAGGGCTTTTCCGAAGTCAATCTCCACACGCCTCCGCGATCTTAGAGCAAAGGAATGAACTGAGCTTTTCGCTTGCTTAGCTAGACCAAGTCTGGTAGATATATTCCCAATAGCCGACTCTTTTGACACCTACTTACGATTCCTATCTCAAATTCTACTTATTCCCTAGAAATACCCTTCCGCCGCTACCTTCATAAGTCAAGCCCTTGCCACGTAGCAAGACGGCATACTATAAGGCTCCTCGGCGCCTACGGTTTCAGGGGTCGCATGTGGATCCCTTGCTATCAGTTCTTCCTCGGTTTTATGCGGAACCGATGTAAAAAAAATTAATTTCAAGCATCGGTTAAAATAACCGATGTGAATACGGCCCAAAAAAAAAAAATAATGTTCTAGCAACATCGGTTCTTAGACAACCGATGTGCACGAATAGCTGGACGACACTTATTACATCGGTTTTATGCGGAACCGATGTAAATAAAATTAATTTCAAGCATCGGTTAAAATAACCGATGTGAATACGGCTCAAAAAAAAAATTAATGTTCTAGCATCGGTTAAATAAACCGATGTGAATTCGGCACGGGCTAAATTAATGTGCATCAGTTTAGAAAAACCGATGTGAGGACGTCCAAATTTGATGTGCGCGCGAAACTGCCAAACATAAATCTTAAGCCCAAGCCCGTATCTTCTGAAAAACGATTAAACGTTAATTCACAAAACCCTCGCCAATTTCACCCTTAAGGTTCGTCGCTCTCAAAATCCTTCACCGTCGTCCTCAAAATCCTTCACCGTCGTCATTGGAAGAAGCTAGCCACCAACAGCCTACTTCGATCCAGTGGATTGTGCTCGCCCTTGGACACGTTCGGTCACATCCTCAAAATCCTTCACCGTCGCCCTTCTGCTCTCACCGACAGCAACGACGCCCTTCTGCTCTCACCGACAGCAACGACGCGGCTGAGACTAGCCGCTGAGAAGCTGGCGTTCACACAAGCTTGAAAACCGACGACCTTTTAGTTCTCGAGCATCCCTCAATCTGTCCGTCCGGAGCCATTAAATCCGGCGGGCTCGTCGCCAGTCTTTCCGGCGAACACAGCAGATCTCCGAGCAACGTGCATCACGTTCGTCGAAGTATTCCCACTGTCAGCCCCAATTAAACCTCAGAACCGTTGACGAGCAATTTTCGAGTTTCGTTCGTTCGGCCCGATAGTCCGTTCCATTTTCAGATTTTCTTGTAAATTCCCGAAGACGGGTAATCTATTTCGAACCTTCTCGTTATAATTCTGGGCTCATTTAGATTCGTTGATTCTTGCGTGTTTTGATGATTCATTGATGATATCGTGCTCGTTTATTCGTTGGTTATTGACTCGTATAATCGTTGTGTTCGGCGGATTATGATTCGTGAATCTTATTGTGAATGAGTGGAACTCTTGTTTTCGAAAATTGAATTGTTGCTGTGATTATTCATATAAGATTCGGAGTCTTAAGGATTGTTTAACCATTTAGGTAGAATCAAATTAAACCTAATATTGATCTTAAAATTAATAACGTTTCTCATGGTCATGCTTACTGTTTAAATTTCTTTGGAGATATTTTAATGGCTTCTTTCCTAGAGAGTCTGTAAGGAAAAGGTCTATTTACGGATGTATAGGTTGCTTATTGTTATCTTTTCTTTTCTTATTATCATATCGGATGCAAACAAAATCTTAGCCTAAGCTTACTTAGTCGATTCTCTCCATTTTGATCCAAGGTTTTGTTCTAATTCTCTTCTTGTGCCTCTCTCCTTGAATCCTTATCATCATCATGTTTAAGCCCCGTGATACGGCTCTTACATAAATTATTTATCCTCATCATAGAAGGTATCTAAACTCTAAGCAAACCTTGCATTTATTTTTTATTCTTGTATTTATGATCTTTAAAGGGACTATGGAAATCACTATATCTTGGTTTGTGTTATCCACAAGTTTTTTGACGATTGTTGTTCCTCAAGCTGAAGTAAAAAATTATTAGCATATGTGGCCTAAATACTATTTTTGTCATTTTTGCTGGGTTTAATTTTTGGGACCTTTGTTACCTTGTGATGTGGTTGAACTTTCATTATGCAGCTTTTTGGTGACAGTTGCACACCCCCTTAATCCCGTTAAGTTGAATATCACTAATGTTCCTGCGGACGGGTAAGTATATGCTGGAATCCTTTTAGCTGTTGAAGTTCAAGATGTATAGTACATTATGTGCAAGTTAGTTACTTGTTGACTTGACCCTAAACATCTGTTGGATTTATTCGTATAATTTTATTTAGCTGCTATGAGTTCTTTGTAACCTAGATCACGTAATATGGACGAGAGAGAGAGATAGAGAGAGAGAGAGAGAGAGAGGGGGGGGAAGAGAGAGAGAGAGAGATCTGATTTTGTGGAAACGAATCTGCTTCTGTTCAAGTTTTTGGTTTTGAAAGATTCTTTAATCTGATCTTTGATTTTGCGACACTTGACTTATCCAATGCTCAGTTGTGACTTTCCCTTGTATTCCAGCTCAAGTCCTAGTCAGAGCATTGAGAAAACATTTCAACTCACGCGTGCGGATAGGGACTTATTGTCAAAACAGGAATTTGATGTTCAGGTTGATAAGAAGTTCTGTCATTGTAACATTTGTATTTTCAGCATGAGTATATATGTTGATCGCTTTGATGCTTATGACTGCCTTGGTATTGATGATTAGGCATGGTGCATGCTTCTTAATGACAAGGTGATGTTCAGGATGCAGTGGCCACAATATGCTGATCTACAGATTAATGGTATTATATCTCCTGAGAGAGATTTCACTCACATACGCATGGCCTAATTATATTATAGTTCTTTCTTCAGTAATATTTGTTTATTTGTTAATACGTCTTCTGAGTTTTACCTAGAGATGATGACCACATATATTGGCTATGGATATTCTTTTGTTCATTGTGTTCTAGCTTTGTAGTGTAAATCACAGTTTGTCTAGGATTTGCTTGAAGGATGCATTCTGATGGCAATTTCATCTAATGATACATTAACTTTTGTTATGATTTTGTTTTCATGTAAATGGTTGAGCTGCTTTATATACTAGATTTCACTGTCCCTCTTAGTTTTACCTTTCTGGTCGACAGGTGTACCTGTGAGGGCGATAAACAGACCTGGTTCTCAGTTGTTAGGAGCTAATGGACGGGATGATGGCCCTGTTGTGAGATAGAAGGGTATATTGCGAGAAGAATGGAAAAAGAAAATTACGAGTGTATCTTTGCACCGTACATTAGCGAGTAAGAATATACAACATATAAAATTCACTTTATCTTTTCTTTATTTTATTTTTATTAACATTATATTGAGATACAAATTAAAAAGTGTACCAGTTAAATACATTTATCTTCTGGATTGACAGAGAACATTGGCAGTTGATGATACTCTGTCCCAAACAAAATAAAGTGGTTTGGTTGTGCTCGTTGAGAAAAGATCCCACCACAGAGTTGGTAAACAAGATTAACAGGTATGTTTTTAAATTGATAAATTAGATCGATTTTGTAGTTAACTTTTCTTTGCTAAATGTATTTTGAATATATTATCTTTTACATTTTGGCTTATTTTGTCTTTCAAGTAATATGAATATTTATTATGTTGCAGTGTATTTCGTACATACTTCATGGTTAAGGGAAAACGTAACATGAAGCCTAAATGTGTTCCACTTAAGGTAAATTTATTGAATGATGTTAGGTGTTTTGATTTTGGAGAATTTTATTACTTTCTTGGTTTTATGCATCGATTTAGTTTGTGTAGTATAATGATGTTTTATGTTTTTCATACAAGTGTCGAAAACAATTGGGAGATACAGAATGTGGATATTTTGTTATGAGGTATATGCTCGAGATTATATCACTTGACATTATCGACTCGTTCGAAGAGGTAAGTTTTTTATTAAAATCAACTTTTTGTTGTATTTGAAAATGCACAATTCAATACAGGTTATAGTGGGCTTTTGATTTCTTTTATTTGCTTGTGATTTTTTTATTGGTCTGATTTTATTTTAAGGAATTTTGAGGTTTTGTTTGGAGTATTTGAACTTTGAAGTTGTTTTGCACTATGAAGTTCGATCTTTTGTACATGAGTAAAAAAGGTTAGATTTTTAGAGAAAATTTGAAGCTTTAAAAATTTTATTTGGGTGTAGTTTCAGTTATTGTTATGTTAAATAACTATCCTAACAGACGATTTAAAGTATAATGTATAGTACCTGTTCTGGTGTTGTTCATGATATGTTGTTTTTTGTATTTTTTTTTGTTATGTCTATAGACGCAAGCATCCATCCGAAACCGATTAAGGAATTGGAAATCCATATTGGAATGTGAGAACTGGTGAATTCAAATCATGTAAACTGGATTCTATATTTGATTTTATCAAGAATGCATTTTACACTGTTTCGATTCTATGAGGTAATAATAACCTTGTATTATGTACAATACGGCTAAAAGTTCACTTGTCATCTCTTCTTGCTTGCTTGCTGCTGTTTTTTGTGATCATGAGAATTTCTAACTATGTTAATATTTGTTTGTATCATGTAGGCTTTCAACATTGATGAGCCATACTCGGACGAGGACATTGAAAATATAAAAATGCGGTGGTCGAAGTACTTTCTTGAGGTTACTTCATTAGGAAAATAGACTTATCAGTTTGCTTACGTTTTATGGAATCTGAACTTTATAACTGTGGTTGATGACTTATTGTTGGTGTAGTGCATATGAAAATTATTGTTATAACTTGGTGGTGTTGAAATATTTTGGTTGTTAGTATTTGTCATGTGGGTTTTTGTTGACTTGTGAGAATATTTTGAATGTATGAATGTTATTATTTTGCAGTAATAGATTTTTAGATTTATAGGTAAAAAAATTGTATATTTAAATAAAATTGTTGTTTTATTTTACATCGGTTTTTATAAAGCCGATGCAAAAAGACTATTTCGACAAAAATGTTTGACGTCGGTTTTGCCAATAACCGATGTTATATGTCTTTATTTACATCGGTTATTTTGGTAACCGATGTTATATGTTTTTATTAACATCGGTTATTTTGGTAACCGATGTTATATGTCTTTATTTACATCGGTTTCGTTGATAACCGATGTTATATTTCTTTATTTACATCGGTGTTTATACAAACCGATGTTAAATGTCTTATTTTACATCGGTTTTGATACAACCGATGTTAATATAATCGATTTTTTCTATTTTAGAGACTTATTTTTTTCCTTTATAACATCGGTTATTTGGCAAAACCGATGTAAATAAGTTTTTTTTCACATCGGTTCAAAACCGATGTAAAAAAGACGGACCTTTAACATCGCCTGTTTCAACATCGGTTTTAAAAAGGGGTTTTAACCGATGTAAAAGTGATTTTTAACCGATGTGAAAAGTGTTTTTTCCACTAGTGCATGACCAATTTATACTTGAAATCATATCCGCCCAAAGCTCCCGACTTGCACATAAAAAACGATACGAACACGAAGAAAACAAAAATAATACAAACGAAAATACTGAAAAAATCAAAATAAAGAAAAATACGCAAGAAAACACAAAATGATATAAAAACCAAATAAAAGATCTAAAACGGCTGAAAAAGGCCAAACAAATACAAAAAATGAAACAAAAATGGGACAAACAACTCCCCCGCATTTAAACTTTTGTTCGTCCGGAACAAAAAGAAAAGAAAACAAAATAAATAAACGAGCATGGACAATAATTTCAAATAAAAGAGGTCTCAAATTAATCAACTTAGCTGATAGGAATTCAAATGACCAAGAGCGAATACCTCAATTACAACTCGAATACTACGCTTTGAAAAGGCAGACGCTCTAGCACTGTAATATAATATATATGCCTCATTTAGTTTCTTACATGAATACGAAATAGTTACGCTAAAATTAGTCGTGATCATGTTTCAACATAAGCTTGCCTATTGTCTAATTCATACTCTATAATGATCGAAGTTCA